CAGTACATTGTGAAGTGCCTTGAATGAACTGAGAGACCCGGTTCCTTTTGAGTTGGACGTGCAACTGTGCTTAAATATGTTACAAATTCATTGCCTTGCCAACTACAGACCATCAACCTTCAAGCGACATATCCATGTCACGTCCCAGAAGCAGCCTAAACCCAGGTCGGTAAGTAGGTTTTGGTTCCATTTCTTTTTCGAACTGTGTATATATATATATAGACAAGTGAGAGTCACAGTACATCAGGTTCAGCACAATGATGCAGTTTCGGGCTGATGACAAGACCTTGCAGCGGCCAGTGAAGCGTGAATGAACACAGTGTACAAAGCCGGCGCCCGCCGCTGTTGGAAAGCTACAGCTGGGCGGCTTGTTTTCATCAAGCAAGAGTTGAAAACAAACAGCACGGGCACAGGGAGCTCTTGCTCGCCACTACACTTTCTTATACTTTCTTCTTTGAATCTGAATCTAAACAGATAAACAACAGGATGCAGGGAAGACGGCCCCAAGTTCCACGAAGGTGGTCTAGGACAAGAGGTTTAGCTCTGGCTCTTTGGTGTCCGAGTCCTGGACCACCAGCCGGAAGGTCAATGGGAGACTAAACTTCATGAAGACCAATTGACCTGGGACTGACTATCTTCTTAAGATCAGCCAGGAGTTTAGAAGCAGTTTTGGAGCAGCTTCCCAGGTTTCACTTCTATCGCGTCGCCAGCATCCACCAGACTCGAGGTGAGCGGGAAGCTGGGACCTTGAGGGCCATCACTGAGGGCTGCGTGCATGTTTGGCTAATTTTGACTACTGCCTAATGTTTTGGGTCTTCTCTTATCCTCTTTTCCATTTTCCCACATTCTTGAGTTTCTGGCAACTTAATTTTTACTTGGCATGCCGCCCTCTTCTCCTCAACACCATCTTGCCGACACTTGAGTAAGTTGTCTGAAGATTTGGTCTCCGGGTCCTGAGACATGAAACATGAGAAAACTTAGGCTAGAACATTGAAATATGATGGCAAAGCTGAAAACATGCCGGCTGAGCTCTAACGACCTAAACAACCTGAACTATGAACTGCAGCCAATGTACTGTAAAAACAACTCTTTGGTTTGGGATGTGACTTGAAAGAAAATGATGCTTTTCTTGCTGGGCATGAGCTCACTGCAGGCGGGGCAGTTCGCATTGAAGCAGAAGATGGAACGCAGGAACCTTTGTGCTTGAGGAAATGGAGCGTCCAGATGTGAATGCTCTCAGCTCTTGGTGTGTCTTTGAGGAAAGAAAAGGGAACTTGATACAGAACTCGCTCCTTTTGGTCCAGTATATATAAATGCCATGTAAAGGTTCGCCCATTTCGGATTTAAAGGCCAGTGCATCGAATTATTTCACTAAGGCGGCTGCTGGTGCAAGATGAGACCATCATTCTTGAACGCCAGTGGTTCCCGAAGGACTGTTCGGATTTGCAAATAGCAAAGGATCAACGCTAGGTTTTAAACAGGGGTCAGAAGTTCTGAAGAGATACGTTAAGTTTCTTTATGGTTCATATGTGCTGCAGACAGCCTAGCACGTGACCAAGGCCTGGTGTTATTCGGGTGTTTGATCTTCAGACCAGCATCTCACCTAGAAGTGAGTATCACACTGGACTGGAGGCCTGCCGAGGCCTGCTTAAGCTTACTTGATTCAAGGGACTTGGCTGTTGAGGATTTGATGCAACATCAGACATCCCCAATAATCAAGCAGCCACAACCAGTACTGGGTTGGTGCCTGTTTATCTTTGGTTGGCACGAACCCTGACAGCGTGCCAACCGCAAGTTAGATAGTGAGACAGACAGTCGTACTTGCTTTGGGTGGGTGCATGTCAGTTCATGTATAGAGCTACAGGGCCATGCCTGCAAATTGCCTTTTCCTAGAAACAACTTTTACAAACCGCTTGGCCTGGTGTCTCCTGCGTAGCACTCACCCTGACCAGGAAGTTCTGCCAAGAGGAAGCACAGGCGCAGTTGATTGATGGATGATAAGTTGGTGTTTTGATAAGAGAATTGCAATCTGAAGCACATATCATGTTGAACACATTTTGCTTATTTTTGTCGAGAACAACACTCGTTCAAGCGCTTTGTGTTGAACCCATGCCCCGCACAAGTTTCAGGCACGCCTCCCGGTGTCTTGAAGATCATCCGTGCCGGCTGATCTCGATTTTGTGTGTTTTCCATCCTATTTCAAGTGAAACTGCACGCACAATTTGAAAAGTTGACCGATGGAAGAGCACCAACCAGCAACAAACCGAGCTCAACCCTGGACTCTTTAAGCTGGTCCTTTCGCCAACTTAGTTGAGTTCATTGTCAGTTGTCATTTTCGGGATTTCTGGTGTCCACATTTGTTTTAGGGAGGGTGGCTCGGTGAAGCACTGTTTCACTGGCTCGGCTGGCTAAGCTTGCTGAGTAGTCCTCATGGACAAGCTTGCATCAAAAGCTCTCGACTGCCAGCATTGTGACACTACTCACTACTAACTAATATATAACTAGTACCATTATCACCACTGCCCCTACTACTACTGCTACTGCTACTTCTATGCAATGTGTGTCAAGCTATGCATCGACTGTTGAACTTATCATAGAGCTCTTTTAAGGGCCTCCACGAGCGATCATTAGCACTCCAGGTTGCATTGCAGAAACCTCAAAAGTGCTTGTAGCCATTTATGACTCTATGACCAGGATCGCATATCTTTCCAAGCAACCTTGCGCAATAGTATCTTTCTTGTAGGGTGCAAGAAGCTTTCAGCTGTACAAAAAAAGGCCTCCACAGTTCTTCGACCTATGTGCACCAGAGAGATGTCCTCAGGCCGACCCGTGGTCATTCATGCAGCAAACTAGTTAGCGTCCAATGATAGGAATTGCAACAAGTCCTTTTTGGCAGATTTTGGTAAGTTTGCTGCATGCCGAATCGTGAGGTCCGCAAGTGCTACTACCTCTTTTTATTCTCAATCATGCGGACAGACACAATCATTGTGGGTCCTGTCAGTTGTATTCATGGGAGCACTTCCAGAGTCACAGAGAACCTGCAGTCCCACAAAGGCCCAAAAAACATCCAAGAACATGTTTGCGAAGGTCCTAAGGCGAATGGCGCTGAAGGAGATAGGGTCAGAGAAGGCAGGGTGAACGCATCACGCCAGGGAGGCTGCATATAGCACATACCGGCCGCATTTTAACATATTAATATAACATGTTTTAACACTGAAACATGACTAGGTTTGGACACACGCTACAAAGTGAGTAAATACCAAACAAACATCGTAACATGCTTCTGCCATCTCCTGCCATACCACCTGGCTTCGTTTGCCAACATTTTACACGGGGCATGTGGCATGTCACGAGGTGCTAGGAACATGTCCGAAACCATGTGAAGTGCTTGATCCGGGCCTCTGAGTGGTTGACGCTGACCATCTGGGAACATTCTGTGGCGTGTTATGGGGATCATAAGAGTCATTAGAATTGTATTTGACACGCAGTTATTGTTTTCATCCAACTTGCATGGACGTTTCAGCGGATACCTCAGTTTCACGGGTGTCCCAACATTGGAATCCATCCACAGCGGGAAGGCCAATGCAGATGTGGCCTTGTTGGCAATCTCAGGCTTGCCGCAGTCCAACCTAGAAAGCAAAATATGCTTTCACTCAGGCAATCTTTGCGAGGAAGTCAACCACCGATGTTCCTTATATATATAGATAGGAATGACCTGTGTTTAACTTCAAGCAGTGGACTTGTTGGACCAGAGCGACGAACGTTTCCTGGGGCAGCCACCAAGTCATTGCTAGACATGATGCATCAGGATACCATTCATTGTTGTAATTGGTGAGGGGCTCCAAGGCCACTTCTGGCATGAGGTGACAATTGGATTCCTTGTCAAGACAAAGATGTTGTTTCTAAAACACATCGTTCGCACTTTGTAAATTGCAAGATTGATCACTTCCTTGCCCCCAGCAAGGCACTGCAGAGGCGGGTGGTGCCGCGACTGGTTTTGGGACTCCAAAGGGCGCTTTGTAACTCTGTAACTCTTTGGCGAAGATGGGTAGTGTTTCTAAGGACCGCGTCCACCACACACAGCCGCTACTTCCCCGCTTGTCCCGTCGTTCAGTGAGTGAGCAACGGGTCCCAAAACACTGTAATTGTAATTATATAGTTATAAGATATTTTTTGCAAGTCGCAAAACCATTCAAAGACACTGACTTGTACTTGCAAGGGCTTCTGCAACCCTTCCTTCAGAAATTGCAGTCCGTCGTCCGAAACAACAAAGTCATTGCTGACCTCTTTTAGCTCTCCTCTGGCTGGCTGAAGGAATTCTTCTCCGCGCGGCAGCTACAGGTATGCTTGTACGGCATTGCTGGTTTGAAGGGCTTACGCCACACAGCCGACCATCGGCAAGTTGCAAGCGGCGCAAGACCATTGTTTCCAGGGGAGAAGCAAGTCCTCGAACAAAACGCTTTCGTGGGCTTGCCTCTCTAATTGACCAACAGCTGACTTTGACCTGTTGACATCCATGTCTCTCCAGCGCCCGCGGCAAAGAACTCATCGGCAGCTGGAAAGCGGGGAGAAGGTGGGACAGAGCTTTGAGTTCACACGGCTGCAAAGCGAAAACTCGTACCAAAGCACCCACCTTCTTTCGAAAATGAATCATCATATAAGTATTTTAGGTACTCAATATGTGCATAGTACACTTGCCGGAGATGTGTGCCGAAAATCTAGCATGAGCCCAAGCCTGCCATGCTATGCAGTGTACGTAACTTTTCAAGCCGCACGGCAGGCGAAGAAGCTGGCAAGAGAACCACCAACGAAGAATATGCAATTACTGCTAACGGTTGCCAACAACACCACCGCTGCCTTTTTTTAAATTCAGGACAGGCACCCACCAGAATGAGTTGGAAACATCCAAAATTGCAAGAACCACAAAATCTGGTTGGGCCCAAAACAGAAAGCCCATACAAACCCTCCTGATTCTTGACGAAACCGTCCTCCAAGGCTAAGGCGTCAATGTATAACCTTACTTTTCAAGACCGAAGGAGTAAGAGTCTGGCAGCGCGACCACAAACTTCTCGAAGCAGCGAAGTGCAAATGTTTGTGCCCTTGTCCAATGTTGCTTCTAAAGCCGCTCGGCATGCGCTTCTGCAGGGGTCGGTTGGTTGTTCAATATATCAAGGAGAAGCTAGGATAGATACTGCCGATGGGACCGAACACGTGTTTTGTTTGTTTTTGTTTTCTTCCTTTAAATAGTTCAGATTCAGAGGAAGGAATTCCCAGATTTGCATGCGTCTTGTTCAATGCAGAACCCATGATACACTGCAACTGATTGCAACTGGCCTTTTGTTTGCTGCACTTGGATGGCTTCCAAGCAAGTCGTTTAGCCAAAGTAAGATGCAGATTGCTGTCCTGCCCATGGAAGCATGAAGGAAGCTTCTCCAGGTGGCCTGGCCAAGATTGGTGGCTGGGTCAAGACCATGTATTTAGACGCTACTAGGGGCTCCTGGCCTTACTACTAGGAGCAACGCCGCTACTAGGAACAAAGGACGCATGGGTCTTCCTTAGTTTCCCTAAATCTAGGAACCAAATCATTGGTGCGAGCGCTTCAAGGAAGCTCCCTCGCCCTCAGACGGGGGAGCTTCCTTGAAGAAGCATGAGCCGTAGCTAGAAGCTTGTTTAGTCCCTTCCTTAATTAAGTAGACGCTAACTTAACTAAGCGGGCTAAAAAAGACACATTCCGACATCCTTTGTCGGCCATAATCGAACCATTTGCTCATTCACGAGGACTGTAAGCCTACCACAATCATCCATCCTCACTTCTAGTTACTGTACCAGTTCTACTACTTCCGCGAGTACGTCTACTTCTATTTCCACTGCATGTTTTAATTCCGGTCCCTTTTCTACTTGTACTGCTCCGCATCTACCAAGATTTATATTCTGATCTACTTCTACCCAGACTCTAGTACTCTCCGTGTCCACCACCGCTCTGGCTACTTTTGGGCTTAATTTCCCAGGACTGCGGGGTGTAGATCTTGTCAAGATATCTATACTTCATAACAGGATCCAAACTTGATCGGTTGCGCTCTATCCCAGCACACCATGCTGAAAGACCACCGGAACAACCATGACTAAAGAGAAGAGCTGCTCATGACAATGTGTCAAAAACACTTGTGTGGAAATTAGTTCCTCGGGATGGTAGGACATCAACTGTCTCTGCACCATTCCACAACATGGAGAACATCTAAGAGTGCAGGCACCTTGCTGTGTGTATGTGAGGGGTATGACAGCTGTGACACATTTGCGGTCAAACCATGAGGAAGGCTTCAACGTGACATTGAATATGTGCCTGAGGCTTTTGTGAAGCAGACATCGAGAGGGCCTGCAATCCAGGGAGCTTTCAAAAAGGTCTGACCTTGATGAAACAAGGCGCAGTGAAGCTCACAGGTGGGTGCCTGGGCTGTATAATACAGCTGGGGATGCGGATACGGCAGTTCGGCCAAACTCAATATGATGGGTCTGCTGGCACCAAACCTGATATATAGAACTCCTTTCAAGCATGCCATCCAAATGCAGGTCAAAAGTGTCCAGCAAGCGTCAATGGAAAGGACTTTCCACCGATGAACTTGGGTGTCAAACTGGTGTACAGTCTCAGCTGTTTCTCCCAGAGACAAAAACTGTAAATTGTTCTGCAACTGCAAAGATTTGGCAATGGCCTGTTTGGCACCATCAAAGGAGCTAGCAGGTCAAGCTGAGGCTGAATAGAAATGTAATGGCCTTATGACATCGAATTCGTCATGAAAACAGCATAACCAAATTACTTTACTTCGAGTGATCCCCACCATGACATTTCAATCATTTGTCTTGATGCCATAGTGAGGAGCATGTTGCCATAGTCGTCAGTATTGTAGTTCTCGATGTTGCTTGTGGGTCCTCGGGTTGTGTGCTGTGGTTGTGTGCTGTGTTGTGGTTGTGGTTGTGTTTGTGGTTGTGTGTTTGTGGTTGTGTGTTTGTGGTTGTGTTTGTGGTTGTGTGTTTGTGGTTGTGTGTTTGTGGTTGTGGTAGTGGTTGTGATTGTGTGTTTGTAGTTGTGGTTGTGGTTGCGGTTGTGTCTTTGTGATTGTGTGTTTGTAGTTGTGGTTGTGGTTGTGTCTTTGTGATTGTGTGTTTGTAGTTGTGTTTGCGGTTGTGTGTTTGTGGATGTGTTTGTGTTTGTGGTTGTGGTAGTGGTTGTGATTATGTGTTTGTAGTTGGTTGTGGTTGTGTCTTTGTGATTATGTGTTTGTAGTTGGTTGTGGTTGTGTCTTTGTGATTGTGTGTTTGTACTTGTGGTTGTGGTTGTGTGTTTGTGGTTGTGTTTGTGGATGTGTTTGTGGTTGTGTTTGTGGTTGTGTGTTTGTGGTTGTGTGTTTGTGTGTTTGTGGTTGTGTGTTTGTGTTTGTGTGTTTGTGTGTGTGTGTGTGTGTTTGTGGTTGTGTGTTGTGTGTATGTTTGTGGTTGTGTGTTTGTGATTGTGTCTTTGTAGTTGTGTTTGTAGTTGTGTGTTTGTGATTGTGTTTGTAGTTGCGTGTTTGTGATTGTATTTGTGATTGTGTTTGTGATTGTGTTTGTGATTGTGTGTTTGTGGTTGTGTGGTTGTGGTTGTGTGTTTGTGGTTATGTGTTTGTGGTTATGTGTTTGTGATTGTGTCTTTGTAGTTGTGTTTGTAGTTGTGTGTTTGTGATTGTGTTTGTGATTGTGGGTTTGTGATTGTATTTGTGGTTGTGTGTTTGTGGTTGCGCGTTTGTGGTCATGTGTTTGTGATTGTGTGTTTGTGGATTTTATCTGGCAAACTATCTGGTTGAGGTCCAGCGGTGCACACTGCGATCGGATCCTTGCGGTTGAGGTCCAGCGGTGCACACTGCGATCGGATCCTTGCGGTTGAGGTCCAGGCGTGCACACTGCGATCGGATCCTTGCGGTTGAGGTCCAGGGATGCACACTGCGATCGGATCCTTGCGGTTGAGGTCCAGGGGTGCACACTGCGAGGGGATCCTTGCGGTTGAGGTCCAGGGGTGCACACTGCGATCCGGAGCTGGCCAGACAAGATCAGCGAAGCAGATTGGCGAGGAAGGAAGCAAGGAGGAAGGAGGAAGGAGGAGGATGAGGAGGCGGGGGAGGCGGAGGCGGAGGCGGAGGAAGAACAGCTGTGATAAAATCTAACAACCCTCACCTGGCAGGTGGGGAATCAATAACAGCCAGAAAAGAAAGACTCAACAAAAGCACCAAAACAAATTGACACTCAAGAAAAAATGCAAAGAAGCAAACATAAAAAAAGACAAATCTAGATTGATGGCTTCCTATTTGTTTTTTCGTTAAGTCTGGATATGTTTATGAAACAAACAATAAGCACACCCAGACTCAAAAAGAACAAAATAAGGAACAATCAATCTAGTTTTTTAGAGATGTATTCACACTGCTTCGCGGTCGAAGCTGCCCGCACGGAGAGTGTGCGTTTGTCTCGGTCTGTTTTGGTCTGTCTGTGTTGGTCTGTCTCGGTTTGTCTGTCTCGGTCTATCTGTCTTGGTCGGTCTGTGTGTCTCGGTCTGTCTGTCTCGGTCGGTCTCCGCAGGGGCAAGCACACAGGATGTCAATAATGCAGTCTCACTCGGTCTGCATAACCGACATGGCCAATGCTTTGCTCCGAAGCCACACGGACAAGCATACACGCGATGTCAATATATATATATATACCCGTTTTTACAACCTCAAAAGCACAACATTCTTAGAGCAAAAGTTGCCCCCCTAAGCTATCTAGCCGTTTTTTCCGGAGTGTGCGAGCCGCGCGAGCCGCTGACAACGCCTCGGCACCTTCGGTGCGAGCGGATTTTCGGTGTCTCTTAATGTCAGTTTGCCTTATTTTGTTTCTGTTTTGTTTCTTACTTGTTTTTTCCTTGAGCCTCTGAGTCCTCCTTTCTGGTGGTGTCTTCTGCTGAGTCTCGTTTTGATTTTTGTTATTTATTTTTAATGATATGAACTTTCTGGGAAATCGTGATCAGATTGTGAGCCGCACCCACTGAGGTCTGCTGGTGCGGAGGCTCAAGTGGCCAGCGAGCGTGGCCACGGACATTACGCCGTTCGCCTGGGCCGCTGTGGAGTCTCAGCCACCTGTTCTGTTTCGTTTCACGCTGAGAGCGTCTCCATGAGGGTTACCTCAATTCTGCCGGGGTTGAAGAGGAATTCTTTGACTTAAGCCCGTGCCAGGGAGGACAACCTGCAAACTCTATCGAGTTGAAACCCGTGATTTCTTGAGCTAGCGAGGTAGCTTCCTTTTTATTGCAGCGACATTTTTGCAACCTCTGTAGGGACAGCTGGTTTTGATTGGACCTCACGCAGTGTGGTCCCAAAGATCTACAGTAACATAAAACGACCGCCAGAAACAACCAGGTTTCCAGAACTGCCTGAATGTACCGGGAAATTTCTTCACCTGATCTAGATTGTCGGATCGACACGCTTGCCGTTGTTGCAGTAACATACTACTTTCTTTGCCGCTAAGTGGTGGTGCAGATGGGAAGTGGTCTAGATCAGTCATGTTTTTTTCAAAGGACACACATATCAAAAATAGCATAACATAATATATTATGATTGAACATAAGAACATTTTGTAAAAAAAATATATATATATTTTTAAAACAATATTCAGAAATATTTAAAGTTTTAACACTCTTTTAGAATCTTCAGACATCTTTTAAGCTCTTAAACATCTTTTTAACGCTGCAAACATCTTACACCATACTAACATATCTCACATTATCTCGAAACATCTATCTCACAGCAGCCGGGTTAACTTGGAAAGGGTTCGGAATTGCAAAATAGTTTGCCAGACTGAAATCTCAAACCAGCACTGTTGATATGTCGAAATGCAACAAAAATGCAAAAACATAGGAAAATAGCGGTGAACGTCGTCCTGACATGACATTGAAGTGTGGTCCCAAAGGTTTCTGAAGATTTTAGGTTGTTCTTGTCACACGTGATCAATCGCGTGGTGAGCGCACAGAAAAACAACAACTGGCTGCGAGGGCCAGCGTATCAAGGGAATGCCGCAAATAAAAATATAGAAGAACACAGTTTAAAATCAAACAATATATGGTAACATGTTTAAATATCCGATTTTGTTGATGTTCTATGATTATATGTATTTGTTGGATTTCAAACTGACACTTTAAATGAAAGTGCCTCACAAGATGAGGAGCTTGACAATTCGATCTGATTTGACCAAGATGCAAACAAGCAACCTAAAACATCTCAATACCAAACGTGTGTGATGCGCAGAATTGTTGTGCTTTGACATTCTGTCTCCGGAGTCACAAACTGAGAAACAGTTCTTGAAGAGCCTTGTCTCGCAGATCGGGGTAGTCTGGGACCAGCCCAAATCATGTTCCAATTTTAGTCTCGGTCATCCAAGAACGCCAGATTGGGCTTCGCAAATGAGCGAGGTAAATGCCAAGTGTAGCTGCGTGGATGCTCGCACTCGTGGTGGGTTGTGTAAGCACGCAGCGGCTGTGGCGCTGGTCTTCCTTCAGCATAGCCAGGATTTACCGCAGATGCCTGGGTATGCAAAACAGGGTTTTTCTTGTGTGTGTGTGCGTGTGTGGGACATGAGTGAAGTCCAACGTTCAGGACCAAGTATTCATTTTGTTTTGGATGTTCGTCAATTATATTGTCCAAGTTTTGAATCTATGTTTTTCCACAATTACTGTAATTGACGTCGATTTCTTTTTCGAGATCCCCTTATGAGCAACTGCAAGGATGCCGTTGGTCTCCAACGGGGCGTCGTCCAAGCGGCCTCGGCCACCGGCCACACCCCGATTGGAGAGTCCAGAGCCTGAGGAGGTCAAGGAGCCAGTGCCTCTGAAGAAACCCTGCTTCCCCAAGGCGACACCACGGGCGCCCAGCGGATATATGGCTAGGGGCTTTTTTCTACGCCAGCTGCAGAGCTCTGCGATGGCAGGTGGGGTGAACTCACTGTAAATCGAAGAGCGCATACATATATTGGCACACCAGCACCCCTTCTTGAGAAGATCCCTTTGAGCCTGTTGTTGAATAACATGAAATTCATAGACAGTGAGTTAGTATCGAAACGGACCAGGCATCGCAGCACATTGCTGCAAAGAGGAGAGTTCTAAGCCGTCAAATACTTGTGAGCATAATTATTGACAAGCCAACTTATTATAGTAATGCTATTAAAGAATGTCTCCGAGTTCTGGATTGCGCAGATGACCATGTCCATTCATCACAGCATTCTTGACTCAGCTTTTGCTAGTGCAGGTGATCACGAAGCCTTTGCCAACGACCTTGAGCGGATGGATGAGCTCGGAGAGAAGGAAGCGAGCGCACTCTTGCACAAGGCATCGCAGAGCTTGGATGTTTCCAAATCAGGATTCGAAACCAGAAGGAAGGGGCTTCTTTGATTCTTTGGGATTCAGCCATCATCATCAGCATGCTGTTTGCCAACACACAAGAAGGCAAAAGGAGGACGGAGCAACTTGTATTTTTTTGAGGGTTCCCACTTGGGGTCCTTTCCACGAACCATAGGGAACAAGCCCGTCCTGGATAGTCACACGAATCATACCCTACAGGTCAAGGACCTCATTTGACTGGATCCTGATCCGGTCATACAAAACCAGTACTCAATGAGGTCAAGGACCAGGTTTAACTTGGCCCTTGGACTTGTAGGGTTACCTGAATCTGATTCCAGCGATCCGCGCTGCTGTCACATTTCCTTAAGGGACCATTTGGATTCAGTGCGCATATACTGTATATATATATATATAGAGAGACACATTAATACAAACATAACCTCGAACCCAACTTCAAAATGACAACTTGTTTTACAAACTCTGATTGTTGGCTTGGTCGTTACGTCGTCCGTGAGACCCAACTGCTGCCTTGTATCAAATCCGAATTCACACTAGTATAGGGGTAGATAGCCTATCCTCCTCCAGTTTGAAAGAGCGTGTTTAGCACATTCCTTTTCAATACTGGACTTCAAAACTCATTCACGGGGGTTGCTATCCTAGTGATCGCCCACAGCCCGTGCAAAGACGATCCCGATTGACACATGATCGTTGTTCAACATTTGCTTGGACTGTGCCAGGATGCATGGTTCAACCCCGGTTTAGGGTTTTAGGGTTTGGGGTTTAGGTTTGCACTGTTGTTTCTCATAAAATTGCTGAGACCTTGATCATTGTTGAACGTAAATATTCAGAGTGAGAGTCTCCTAATATAATATCTCTGTCCTTGAATTGCAAAAGCTGATGACAAAGCTTCAGATGCCTAAAGTCTCTTTCTTATCGTTATTTACAGTGAATTTGCACCCTCAAAGTGCTGGGGGGCAAACCATGAGTCCTGGGCGTACTAATACTTTTCTCTCTCAGAGCGTTCCCACTTCTTTTGGTAGGAAGGCCTCTAACCGAGGAGCTGGACCATAGCTCGAGTGATTGGGTCAAGGGCTTTTACCCGCAGGGTCAGGGTGTTCCTGTGCCAGGCTGTCCAAGGCCAGGACCTGGCAGGCTCCGAACGGATCATTCAGCTGCTGCTGGATCGGCCTGATGGTCAGCGAGTGGCCATGACAGGCTGTGGGGGAAGTGCTCAGTGGTGAGAGACGGGTCCTTCTGAAGCATGAATCCATGGATTGAAAAAGGATGTAGGACACTCCCTGGAAGTCGTCAAGTTGAAGAACATTTTCGACTGCACTTTTCTCTGCAAGGTTTCCGCTGTGGTGTGAGTGGTTGCAACTTTATAGGCTCAACGATCCCAGGTGCCTTTGATGAGTTGCGTCGAACTCCGCTACACGCAGCGGTGGCAGCCAATAGGCTGGGTGCAGGATTGGCCAATGACCCATTCAGGATGCTTCTATATAGAAAGATTCAAGAGACGAACGCAGCTTCATGTTACGAACGGCAGTTGCAACTTGACATTGAATGTGAAAACAAGTAAGACAAGACCGTGACTCGTGACCTTATATATATGTTATATTGTCATTATATTTTACTGTATATCTCTTAGCTTATGTTTGGTGATGACTGGGACTGGAACAGTTTTTTGCGCAACGGCCGTCGCACTGTGCAATTGCATTGGTCAGGACATGTCAGGACCCGTTCTGGCGTGCACAGTCAGTGCAAACATTCACAATCATGATCACACAGATCGTTTCACGGATCCTGCTGGGCATGGATTGAGGTATCAATTGAGACATGAACATACATGAACAATCTCCCCTGAGCGAGGCTTGGAATTTGCCGGAGCTTGCTGCAAGCGCGCGCGGATGTAGCTATGAAGAACGGGAGCCTTGGATCTCCAAGTGCATGCAAAACTCATTTTTGTTGATTTTGTTTTGTAGGCAATATATATATATATATTAAACATGTAGCATGGCTGCAATAATGGCATCCTCGTTGCGCATAGAAAGGAATAAAAAGCAGTAATTCTTCTGCATCTTTTCGTACTTCGCGCTTGTTCGTTATTTGTCTACAGCTCCGTGGGACTTTGCCTGTTTAGTGGGCCGGGTGTTGTGAAACAAGCTTCCCAACGGTGGGGCTTTGAGGGGAGAGGAATTTCGCATCGAAAGCTGGTCGTGTGGGTGCCATAGATTGCGGAAGGTCTCGGAGGTTGATCAGACTTGCAAGCACGATTGCCAAGAAGAAACAGGTTTTGGGAGCCGCACTTGTTCCTACGGTAGGTGGACAGTATTTGAAACCCTTACAGCACTAGCCCTTGCACCAGTATACAGTATATCCCCTCACCGCCCCAAATTTTAATGTTGTCAGGCTTTGCCATGGGGTTTGCTTGAGTGGACGAATCAAATCAACCCCCAAAACCGAAACCTGATTCAAACCTCCGGCAACCCGCCGGCCTCACTTGCAACCTGGTTGTGTGCAGCTACTAAACTTTAGCTGCTATACTGGCTAGACTTTAACAACCCCACTACACTTGTAGCACCTCTCTGATGCAGATAATGCGAGGCTATATCAGGTTCCCAGCCTCAATCAGCTTTGTGAACGAAAGAGTTAGCTTTCAGCTGCTGGGTGGGCATTTCTGTTGATTTCTGCCGCTGCGGATCTGCAATTGAGGAATGGGATGACGTCTTTGGATCTCGCGCAGCGCCGCAAGGTAGACACCTCCAAAGGTGGGGTGGCTTGTGTTGGTCTTGGGAGGGGGCATTCATTTGCCTCGTTCACCCATAAACCAAGATAGATGCGGGCTTTTCCACTTATTGAAACTACCCTTATCACCAATTCACCTACTACAACTACTCAACTGTCAACCACGCCTCAAACTTAACCACTCATCAACACAACCCACAAAACGTGCTGCGGAGGCTCACTAACATTCCGTTCTGGCACCAGAATTACTGCTGTCTGAGAGTTTACATTTGTAAAGACACAACTTTTCATGATCAATTTGCTTCGAAACTACTGTAGTATAGTCTGGGGTAAAACTACTGCAAACTGGTTGTCACAAGGGATCCTACTTCACTTGTTCCGCACGATTGCTAGGCTATCCTTGTGCCATAATCCAACAGTTGTAAATTGGTTGAACTAGGAGTGCAACACCATCTTCGGAGCCGCGGAATTTTGCATTCTGACGCGCTAGGTGATTGGCGCCAGCACGAGGATCCAGTGCTAGTTCTCTTACGCGAAGCCATGAAACGGAGAACAACATGAATTGGGGAGTACAGAAGGCCTGTAATTGCAATTACTGTACAAAGCATATAATACTGGGGGTATGGCGAAGCGGTGCAGTCGATGACACGAGGTATGTGGCCAACATGGCCCTCTTGGGGATATTGATCTGCGAACACCGTTTCGTTGTGTCATTTTAATGATGGGTTTCCGGAACTGGGCCTCGTGGGGTAGCGCGGGAAAAGAATGTCGCTGATGGGTCTTGCCGATCTACTCACGCTTTGTCCATTACTGCACTTGTACTCTTTGGACAGTACTCCTCAAACCGTGCAAAGTTGAAGACTCAAAGGACATTTTCCACAGGACATGGTAAGCCAGACTTGGGATTTGCAATTTTCAGCCTTGCTAGTCGAACCGGCAGTGAATTGCGAGCTTTGTTTTTGCGAGACCCCCTCTTGAATTGTCATTATATAGAACAAGAAGCTACTAGGGGCTCCTGGCATCGCTACTAGGAGCAAAGACGCTACTAGGGGCTCCTGGCCGTACTACTAGGAGCAATGTTCGCTACAGTCATTAGTCATTAGTGATTCGTGCGATTGCCCGGGGCAGGTTCCGATGAGGCATGACTTTTCTGTTGAGCAGGCACGCATTTGCTGCTACCTGCTAGTTTGATCAAGATGAAGTGATGAGCGTTGCTGACAAAGTCAGTCGCATTCCTTCCTTGACCTGGATATCAACAAGTCAATCAGCACTTGAATTCAGATCTTTGGGCCACAGGACACAGGACTACCATTATATATTATCATTTGGATGTCACCCATTGACACCCTAAATTGGTCCGCTCCCAGAGGAGAGCCCTTCACACATGTAATGTTTTGAGGGACTGGGTATGGCTTTGACACAAATCTGCACCCTGGCGCCAGCACCTAGACCAGCTGACTGCAGAGGCTTTGGACATGGGTCGACAATGTTCATGTGTTTGCTGGAGAGTGAGCCTGGAATGATGGCTTTCAATTAACGAAGGTTCCTTGGAGCTTGGTAGCGTACTCTCTCCCTCCCTCCCTCCCTCCCTCCCTCCCTCCCTCGCTCTCTTTGTCTCTGACAACCAACCAATCTCTTACTTTGGGGTTTTCGAGGGTACATGAAGGCCCAAGACCATGAACAGATACTTTTCATGAACGAGCATGAAGCGGCCTCGATGATAGGGATAGGGGTCTCCTCAGTGTGACGGTTAGGTCTTCGAATTCAATTCGATGAACTTTGTTTGCCACTGCTTTGACGGACTTTAACGACCCACCCAACAAGTCAAGAAGCAAACAAGGCGCAAACAAAGGAGCTGCAAACAACCACATATTTTTGTTGCCAGCCAAACTGTCGCACAGAAATGTATTATATCGTGGTCCCTTCACAGACAGATAGTACTAAATCCAACACAAATTGAAAGACGATCCACTTTCCCATCTGCAGGGGTCAACCTTTTCCCCCTGAGCTGCTTTCCAACATTGGGAAACGTGGGATCTGAAGCGTAGAAAAACCCTTCCAAAGAGAAGTGCCAAGTGGAGCCGGGAGGAGGGAGTTTCAGGGAGCAAACTTGATCGAACCATGGGAAACGTTACAGAAATATACTTCTGGCAGACGAAAGTTTAGGCTTGTTAACCATGTTCAAACGACGCTGTGGGGTCAGCTGCGGATCGAATTACCAAGTCCAATTTTCGTGGCAGGTGTGGGACGGTCAATTATCACAGGCTTCGCGGTGTGAAAAATGACCGCCCACACGGCCCCAGTTCTCCCAATGTAGGATTCTAGGGGGTAAGGGTTGACATGAGTTTGTGCTTCAAGAAGCGCAACTTTTGTTTGGCCAGTGTATGGGTAAAGTGTGTGGAAGGGAAGGGATGTGCGATGATTTCTGCTGCGGCAATGTAATGTGTGGTGATTTGTTATGTGCTGAAGCGTGAGGTGTCCCAAGGGAGCTTTTGGAAAACATTCCAAAACTTTTTGTTCCAGACATCTCCAATTTTTTTTTTAATTGTGCATTATACTAGTATATACAAGTATTTTTTCTCTTGCGATCCTGACTTTTCGGCACTTTTATATCTAGAAATATCTTCCTCACAAAGCTATACCGCCAGTGCAAACCTTGAGTTGCACTGCGCAATTGAATTGCCCACTGTCACACCTGACCAACCCTGCCAATGCACATTGAAGCCCTAAGTTAGGCCCTAAGTTCCATTCCTGAATGAAGCTCTTCCATCAATCTTCAAACCACGATCACAGTGACCCTGGGGTCAGGGGGATGTATGGGAACCTGTTCTGAAACTGTCGTGCAACCGTCCACACTCAGACATGTTGACTGACTGCGGGCCCAGTCCTTGACTCACTTCTTTGATGCATGTGTGAGCATTTTAGACTGTACTGCAACGTTTTGCAACTTGGAACATTCCCTTGGACACTTCCTTTGAACAACGAATGAAAGAAATGAACGAAATGAAATGAAATGAAATGACATGAAATGAAATGCAATGAAATGAATGAAGTGTAAGTGTTAGTGTTGAATATCCAAAGGCCTCGATCGTTGAGGGCAGAACCAGAGCCGCTTGAAATGTTTCTTGCTACCCTCACATATCAGCTATATACCCTCTACAAATACCGTGTGGATATAGGCTTCGTAGTTTCAACGCTGTTCGCAATAGTTGGACATCGTCATCTCAATCTATTTGGATTGCCAAATCCACCACTTGAACTCTTTCCCTGCAGATGAAGCTCCTGCGTGATGGGTTGGCCACTGTGGCCGAGGCCTTGTGAAGAACGCCCGTTGGAACTTGAACAAACATAGCTTGTGGGCAGCCTTTCGAGAGTTCAGAGCTCTCGTCTTTCATGGCCCCGTGGCAATAGCCTGTGTTCGTTCACCCGTGATCGTGCTTCTGCGAACATGGCATGGAAGAGAGAGTCAGGATAACTAGCTGTGAAGGAGAGAGAACTGAGAGTGCAGCGCTGAAAACCGCTTGCAGCGAAACGGAACATTGGAGTCAAACATAAGCACATTTTGAATGCTGCAGTGCTGTTGGTTGATCCTCCAAAGAGAAAACCGGCCACACGTGACAATTGGCATTTGTCTCAACAATGGGTAGTTTTGTTGCTTCGCAAGCACTAGCATGTCTCAACAACAATGTGGGACGCCTATCCCGGCTCAACTGGCATGGCACTACACATGGTAGGCACAACCTGTCCTGCAGAAAGAGGCGAGGTGCCAGGGATGCTTGGGAGGTTCTGTGTCAGGGAATCCGCATTTCACTCCAGACAGTAACTCGTGTCAGGAAGGCCGAAACTAGACCAACACAGAACAGATCTGTAGACTTGGCAAGGAACTTGCTCCAGAATTTTGCACATGATGTGCTTTTCTCTGGCTTGAACTGCTGTGTGGTCAGTCAATTCACTTGTTCCATGCCAGGGAGACACTGGGATCGTGTTCAAACAGGGGTGTGATTTTGCAATCACAGACATGTTTGCATGTCGGTTTTGGCTTGCAGCACCGGAAAGAGATTTTGGAGCAGGAGTGTAACTGACGTGTTGAAGCACATTTTGTCACAGCTTCCAAGTGGACTTAAAGCGTCAGGTGAAGGGTTTCCTCGCTGTATGCATTCTACAGCCCTCAAGCGGGCGTTTTTCCGTGCGCGTTGCGTGATGGCCCCGCGGGTGGAGTTGTATACTGCCTATGCAGCTCACCAAAAAGGGGTTGGATGCCCATGGGAAGCGAAAACGGGCAAGGGAAACACATAGAAGCAAAAAAATATTCGACGGGGATCAAAAAAAAGGAATAAAACACAAATATTCTAGCCCACTGAGGATGGTTGGGGTAGTAGTAGTAGTAGTAGTAGTAGTAGCAGTAGCAGTAGCAGTAGCAGTAGCAGTAGCAGTAGCAGTAGCAGGATTAGGAGACCAAGGGAAGAGGATGGAAGGAGTAGGGGACTAGGAGAGTGTACCTCCCTAGGAGCTCCTTCCTAGTAGGGAGCTATTTCTACTGGTGAACCATTTTTCGAGTAGGGCTACTCAATGACTGGACGGCTACCATCATTGGGTACCTACTTTCCTCCCAGGGAGCTGCCTCTAGTAGAAAGCAATCAAGCCTCGATTTGCGCAAGCAGGGGACCAGGAGACCGAAAGACGAGCGGAGTAGGAGAGCAAGAGACCAGCGGACCAGGAGACAGAAGGACCAGGATACCAGGGGACCAGCGGACCACAGGACCAGAGGACCAGGAGACCGGAGGACTAGGGGACCAGTGGACCAAAGGACCAAGGGACCAGGGGACCAAAGGACCAGTGGACCAGAGGATGAAGACTTTTTTTGACTTTGTGGCGCACTCGACAAGGTCCGGCTCCTCTTGGAGCTAATGCACCGAGGTGCTCTTCGGGAGGGTGAGTGAGAAAAAGCGCTGTTGCTGATCACTCAGGTAGTTCGAATTCTATGGCCAGCCAAGGCCTTTAGCCGTGGTGAGAGTGTGGCATACATTTTCTAAAGAATTGAAGTCTCCAGCCGGCTCCATAAAAAGAGGGTCAGCTGTGGGAGTGTGCCTACCACAACTCGCAGGATGTACATGCAGACAAGTCAAATCGTCAAGATCCTCCTCGAAAAAGGAGAAAAACCTTTCAAAGCTCACAGGAGGATTTCAAGCCAGTTTGGCTTTGCCATCAAAGGCGTGTCAACACGGAGCAAACTGGGCACCTTCCAAGGGAAAACAGGTGCGGTTGGTGCCTCACTCACTGGCAGCCGCCCTCAGTAGTCGATCTCCAGCCGAAGAGGCAGCTAGTGAAGCCAAGCTGCCAATCCATCAAGATGGGGCTGCTCCTCTGCAGTGAACAAGTCGCTCCGTGGTGCAAGATGTTCTTCATGATATGCCAGCGCAACTCGATAATTCAGCTCCACGTGGCATTTGTGCTCCAGGTCCGGGGGTCCGTGCGGTCCCCAGAAGACAATTTGGATTCCACATCTATGGCATGGAAGCTGAGAGACACAAAACTTACTAAGCTGAAAGGCAGGCAGCGTGAAGACGTCTTGCCAAAGGGCGGTGTGTTTCAACCTCAAATGCCGGTTCAAGGTCTCATAGTTGAAGATCACCTTCCCGCAAACAGCACAATGCACTCGAAAATAAATTTCAAGTTCCCTGGGCAAATGGGCCATATGCTCTGCGGGGTTCCAATCCAGTTGCTTCAAATGATGAACCAGTGTAGAAACCCTTTGATCATGGCCAAGAATTGGAAAGCGGGGGGTGACCTTGGTGCAAGCATCAGCCTTAATCCGCCAGAGAAAGGTCCAGTGGTGCCTAATACACCATCATCAGGTAGGAGGCGAGCCTCTGCATCATCATCAAACAGAAACCAGCCAGCTTCATCACGTCCAACAGCCTGCAGGTGACCACATTGATCCTCTCCATTTTGGACAACTCCTGCAATGACCTGGTACTCAATCAGATCAACTCTGAGGGTGTTTTCAGGTTGAATTGGAACAAGAATGGTTCCAGAGACATCCAGGTGCCAGACTTGCTTGCAGGGTTGGCCTGAGTGGTCCAAGGCATAGCGGTCAACATGCACTCCAATGATACGGCTGTCAGTTTGAAATGATGTGCTCATACCACGATATGTTTGCCATCCATCTAGGAGCTCCTGAACATGTGTGTGCTTGCATGTTGGATCACTAGTCGACACAGTGGGAGGCATCCATTTTGCACCGCTATCGGAGATTTGAACGATCCCCTCACCCTCACGTTCAAGGCGGCTATGCCATGAAACTCCGATGCTTGGTGGCTTCATCCAGTGAAGAAAAGCCTGAGTGAACTCATGTACGTCCTGTTGTCGACCTTGATTCCTGACTGCACAGGTCCACATAGGCAGCTTCACCATCCCCAAAGTCACTCCACACATCCCATCATTCAGGTGTAGAATGGCCCAACCCATGGAGAGCACTGCAGCATTTTGGTAGCAGGTGTTCCCGCTGTTGTGTAGCCGCAGGGCAAGTAGGAGTCCTGTCATTTCTTCTTTGGGTAGCGGTCTGCGGAGCTCTTGGCCAGAGCACTGGCCAGTGGATTCTCTCTCGCATTTGATGCGGCCGGAGTCTGGCCTGGATCAGAAGCCAGAGGGCAGATCCCGAGAGCAGCTGGAGGAGTTCCCATAATCTCTGATGTCTCATGCTGACTTGGATCAACCAGGGGCATACCTGTGATGCCTCCATGTTCTCCCCCATGGCCTTCAAGGACTTGAAGCGGATGATCTGGTCCTGCTGCGTTGAGATCTCCACAAGTTCTTCGATCTGTGCTTGCATCTTGACCATGGGGATAGGTGTTTTTTTTCCGTCATCTTGAGACGTCGTTCCTTGGGGCACCACATCAGGTAGGGCCATGCGCCAGAGGACGTTAGCATGGACGAGGCAGTGGCTTCCTTCCATAGCTCGCTGTTGCCCGTGGCTTGGGCTAGTTGGCCAAATCTCTCGGAGAGGAGTTGAACCAGGTGTTGCCAAAGTACGTTCTTGAGCGAGCTCGAGGCATTTTGCATCTCGACCTCCTTCTTCCATTTCTGCGTCCTCTGAATCAGGTGCCCAAGGACGCCCTTCTGAGAGGCTTGCAGGAATATGATGAACTGGTCCTGTTGTGCCAAGCCCTGTAGGTGGCCCTCGTGCCTCAACGTCAGAGCGGTGAGAAGGCTGAGTTGCTTTTGAATTTGCCCGTGGGAGGTCTCTGATGTCTCCTCGTCTCAAGTGTGTTGTCTCTTCCTTCTCATGTTTGGGTTTTCGAAGATTGCTCCCAGCGCATCCCCCATCTGCCCCATCATGTCGTCCTGGTTGATGTGATAGCTGCCCATCCGAGGCAAGAAGGAAGGCCAGGTTGGTGGCTACAGGACACCGCTCTACCACTTCACTTGAGTTCAAGCAGTGTTGACAGCAATCCAAGTATGGGCTGTCCGTCAAGGTTGCAAGACGAGATGCTGCATCAATCCACTGTGTGTGGTAGGAGGTCAGGTGGGCATCCATATCAGCCAATTCACAGGGGATGTGACATAGTGCACAAGTCGTGCTGAGGCGCTGGCGCCAAGTAGGACTCTGCCAGAAGTACGTGGCGCTTTCTCGGATGGCCTTGTCGTTGTTGGCCTCAATGTCATCGGTGTGTGACTTGACAGGTGGTGGTGACGGCTTGGAATTGGATTGTGCTGCAAGGAACAACGGATCAACAGGAAGGAGCGCATAGTGCATGATGGCCACTTAGTGTAGACAATATTTGTGCCTTTTCGAGCCTGTGGACCAACGGCTGGCGCCTGAGCAGCCGCATTCTGATATCTTGTCGAGATCTTTGCAGAGATCCAGCAGGCTTATGGCCTGGGGTGTTGAAAGATACTCCTCTTCAGTTGGAGTCCACAAAAACACAACTCGCCTTCAAGGCCATCAGGAAGTCATTGCGTGGATCTGTTCCACTTCATGGTCTCTGACCAGCTCCCTTAGTTCCGGCCAGGTGTATGGTACATGATCTCCAACTGGTCTTGCAGGATTGAACGACTTGCAGCTGCCTGATTCAATATGAGTGCGGAGCCCATAGTGCTGTCGAAGTACTTGATGGCAGTGACTGCATGTAGCCGTACCGTCAGCGGAATCACGTCCTGGATGGAATTCGAAGGGGCGCTTTATCGAGGATGGTGTGGTTTTTCTCCTTTTGAGAACTTCAGGAATGGCATGGTCACCGTCAGGAACAGGATGATGAAGAGCAATGGGAACACCTGTCTCAAGTTCATGAGTGAACTTTCCGGCATCCACCAATGATTTGAGTATTGCCAGTTGTCTCACAGCATGGCAAGGGTGTGCCTTGGGGCGGTTGATGCCACATGCTAGGGAGGCTTTGGTGCCACGTAGGTGATGGATGATGATAGCTTCCTGGAATTTCCCTTCTGACCATTGTTGATGATGCATGAGATTCAGGTGCTTCAAGAGCTCAGTGCCGGAGGCAAAATGCCGAAAGCACAAAATACAATGCTCACGAATGAGTGTGGCCGGGTCCTCTTTTTCCAGCAGGGCCACCCAGGCTTCTGTACGAGCATGTTCACGTAGGGCAGGCATGTCAGCCGGTGGTACCTGCAGCGGTCTGTCGGAGCTGAACTTTGGGCAGTGTCCTCTCGTGATGTGTTTGACAAGGCCTTCTCAGGTGGAGTGCTTGAGGTCACAGTGTGCGCATTGTGGGAGTCCTTGCAAAGCATCTCGAAGAATCTCATATCGATCAAATTGTTTGAGAGCTTTGTGAACCCGTGTCAGGTGAGCATGTGCTTCAGTTGTCGTTTGGCTGACATGATCACAGTATGGACAGTACATGGCCTCCATGGGAGCATCAGGTTCACGTTGACTGGAACCCTCAAACACCTGCATAATTCGTTGCTCAATGGATGCTGTTGAAACGGATTGCAGGTAATCATCAGGAGCAAGGCCTGATTGTACACGTTGGAGTCGAGCAAGGGCTCGAAGCCAACTTTCCTGCAAATGAGTCTTGGGTGAACATACTCCCAGGCGACTGAGCAGATCCTCTGTGGTTTCATGCGTGATGTGCGCAGGGGATTTGCCAACTCGTCGAAGATCCTGACACATACGACCATGAATCTGTTCAAGTCCAGCCTTGGTGAGCCCTGTGCACTGAATTGCATGGCAATAGCTGGATCTAATGCAAGTTGTCCAAAGTTTGGCCTTGTTA